AAGGTTGCAGCGATGAGTGTGTAATTAGGCCATGCCTTGAATGGATATCGTCGCCGGATTCTCAAGCCAACGCCACCATTTTCCTCGCCAAGTTCTACGGCCGCGCCGGCCTCTTCAACCTCATCACCGCCGCTTCTCAACACCTCCGCCCTGGTAATTTTTTCTCCTCCGCCCCCACCATAAATACTTTTTTTTTTCTTTTAATTCATATGAGTAATCTATCTACCCTTTTGGTTTAGTGGTGTCTATATATATAATTCGAACCTCTAACAATTTTTTAAAATGCATGTAATGTCCTACATAGTTAAACTAATATTTAAGTTGGTAGGTTTGAGGGTTTATTCTAATACTTTTAATTTATGTAATATTATTTTCTTTCTAATTCATATAGCTAATCACTTGTCATGTGGCTCGTACTAATCTCCAAGAGTTGAGAGTGTTATAGTCAACAAAATAAATTTAAAATGTTGATATGCAAAATCAAATTATACTTTTTTTAAATAATATATTACATCACAAATATCAGTAGGAGTTCTTATTTGTATTTAATGATTGTGGAATGAAGGATTTGAACCATCAACCTTAAAAATATAATGATGGTGAACTATATTCAAATGGACAGATTTGACTCCTGAAAAACTGATATAAAATTATACATCATGATATCAGATAATACTTTTTTGTTTCGGTTGCTTCCTCTCTTAATTATTTTTAGATTAAAGGAATTGTATCAAAATTTTAAGATTTAAAAATTTTTCTCTAATTTATCATTCCAAACATTTTGAATTACATAAAATTTTATATATATATATATATGACAAGAAACTAAAATTTTTGGCGGTGTCGTTGAGGATGTCTTGTTGTGTGTTTTTTAGCAATTTTCAAGTCGCTGCTGTACGAGGCGTGCGGGCGGATGGTGAATCCAGTGTACGGTTCCGTCGGATTGCTCTGCTCCGGCGACTGGGACAGGTGTCAGGCCGCCGTCGACGCCGTCTTGACCGGAACCATGAACGTCGAAACCAACGCGCCGCCTTCCAATGCCAATGTTTTATGCTGCGACATCCGCCACGTCTGTACCGACACCAACTTGGCCGCTCCCGGCGAGCCTCGCAAGGTCAAGGCTCGAAGCCGGTTCAAGAAGCCCGACCACCGGACCAAACCAAAATCTGGACCGGCTGAAATTTTGGGGAGCGGGTCTAATTGGGCAGAGTCGGGGGCGAACCGCCAGATTGAAATGGTGGATGCTTTGACGGTGAACCGGGGGAAACCAAACCGAGTTTTGAGGCATGGAAGCCGGTCTGAGAGGGTGGATAATGTTGAGCTGGAACTGACTCTTAACTCGGCTCAAAAATAAGAAGGAAGAAGAAATGGAATTAAAAAGAATTATCGTAAAATTATATTAGGAATTTAGGATTCCGACATGTGGTGGTGTTAAGAAGTTGAGGTCTATGTCGTGTATGTGTGTTTCATGCACAAGGCAGTTATTACAATGTACTGCGCTCTGTAATTTCAACTTTTTCCCTTCTTTTTATGTATAAAATATCTTGTAAGAATGAAAAAATAAATTTTTATATGACTACAGTTTTAGTGTATGTAATGAACTTTTATCCATTTTCACTATGGTAGTTGAATTTTGGAATTTTGATTTAGGTCTAAGAGTTTTATTCACTTTTAATTTTGATTATTAAATGTCCTTTTTTGTGTTTGATTTTTGGTTTTTAAAAAACAAGATTTTTATAAACAATTCAATTTTCTTTTTTTTTTTCCTTTTTCAAAAACCATTTTGAAATTCTATGTAAATTAAAAAAAAAAAAAGTAAGTTTTTCAAAAACAGATTAATCTCATTTCTTCTCTTAATAGTCGACTTTTTTTTTTCTTTCTCATATTTATCTTTAAAAAGTTTATTTTTCATTCTAAAACTTTTTTATTTCTAAATTTCTCTCTCCAAACTTTATTTTTATCTATCTAAAATTTTTATATTTTGAATATTTATTGTTATTTGTCTTTCTTTAGAATTTTTTGTATTTTTGTTTTTTCCTAACCGATAAATTTTATTTCTTTATCTAAAAATTTAATATTTTTCCTAATTTTTTTCTCTAAAAAATTTCATATTTTATAACTTTTTATGTTTCTTCGTAATCTATTTTTTTTTCTAAAAATTATATTTTATTTTCTCGTTTAATTTTCTTTCACTATTAGTTTTATTTATCTTTGTATTTATTTATTTTATATAAAAATTATATTTTCCATCTTGTTTTTATCTTTAAATTTGTTTCCACTGTCATTTTTCTCTTTCTTTATAATTTTTTTTTATTTAACATATTTTTCCCTCGCGACTTTATTTTTTTCTCCAAAATTTTTCTTTTTGTCTTTAACTTTTCTTTCACTATTTTTTTTTCTAAATGTTTTTATTTATCTCTCTAAGATTTATTTTCCAAAAGTTTACTTACATATCTATTTCTAATGTAGTTTTCATGTCTCTACATTAGGGGAATACAAAAATTTCCATAGGATGGGATCCCAAAAATAGAAAATGCACGACCCCTTCCCCGATTCCATTTTTTAAATAAGTAATATATATATATTACATTTTTTTATATTTAAATTCTAAAAATAATTAAAAACATTTATAAAATCGATAATTTTTCTCGAGGACATCTCTCGGAACCAAGAACGAGGTGGAGACGGAGACTAAAAATTTTCACCAGCTCGAGAATGAGGTCCTCACTCGCACCCACATCATCTCTCTAATATGTATTTTCAATTTTCTAACTTTTTAAAAACACAAAACTAACTAAAATAGTTATCAAACGGGCCCTCAATTTTAAAAGTACTTGTTTGAAATTCTACGTTTAACCTCTATGTTAAAAGTAATAATTTAGACTGGATTTATGGTTTAGAATTAGATTAAAGAAAATGAGTTGAATTAAATGATTTGAATTAAATTGAATTCACTTGAGTTGGCATTATTATCTAAAATTTTATTACAAAATTATAGAAATATTGATTATTTAAAGATTTGTTTACAAATGTTTCCTCACATGAAAAGAAAAATAGTAGTTAAATATCATCTTTCGTTTTTATTAAAAATATTTATGTATTTTTTTTTCTAAAAGTTTTTTGAGAGTAAGAGATCTAAGGAAACAGAATTAAATAAGACATACGCGTAAGTGTGATAAATAAATAAAAGAATAGTTTAAAAAATAATTAAATAAAAAGTATAATGTTAGATTAATAAATTCATACGGGTCTGAACTAGGGATGAAATAGTTTTGGGCTTGTGAGTTCGGATCGATGGGGCTGAACTAGGGGTGAAATATTTTTGGGCCTATGATGTTGGACTCTTGATGGGCCCGAACTAGGATTGAAATATTTGAGCCCGTGATTTTGGACCCTTGATGGGCTGAACTAGGGACCGAAATCGTTTCGGCCACTGTTGGAAGTAACCTTCTATCGTTGACCACAAAAGAAAAAGAAAGAAAAGATATGTGGGTCCACTTAAAACTATCATTATCCGTTGGAAGAATAGAATATACATATGATACATTCATTCTCGTTGTCTGGTAATTTAATTAATAGAAAAAAAAATCCATCTTTTGTTCTTTTATCGAGTTGAGCGATTTAAATTTAATGTTGGAGATTCGAATATTAAATGAATTCTTTTGGATTCTTTATATCAACTGAGATTTGTCAATTGAATTGTGTTTATTGAACAACATGAAATAATTAGGGACATTTGTATGAAACAAGAGGGAGAGATTTCAGGTATGATTTTCTCATAAATGTAATAACCCCAACTTGGATAGAAGGCATTATTATTTTACATATTATTAGTACAAAATAAAGTTTCGCGATTAAAATTACGAGAGTAACAAATTGGGAAATAATATATATTAATATGATGTTAATAATCATAAATTAAAGGGAGGCAAAGGTGGTGGCGCAAAGCAAGACGATCTCTTCACAAACCTCCCTTTCATTCTGGGTCTCTTCTCTGCATTCAGTTTCCGAACTTCATATCTTATTTTCTTTGCAAATAATCTCGTCCTTCGCTTCTCTCTGTATCTCGACACTCGTGCTTCTCTCTCTCCTTCAACTCCGGCCGCCGCTTGTCGGCCAATTCCGCCGCCCAGTTCCCCGTAAGGCTGGTAATAGTACTCACTCTCCCACGTACCCTTCATAAAAATACACCTCACTTTCAGAGACGCAGCATTTACCATAACAACAATAACATTCTTAAGAATTAAACACTACAAACTATAGTAAAATACATTTTATAGGACGTAGAGGAGATGAGAAGGGAACAGACCATGCAATCCGGCCAGTAACAATTGACGACGTCGACGTCGAGATTCGGCCGAGCACCGGACGTCCATGGAGTTCCTCTGCTGCCCCAAGCTATTATCACTGCTTCACTATCCAAACTCAATGACACTTTCTTCTTGCTTTTTCCAATTTTGGTGTCTTCCATCTGATCAACTTCCCCGTTCTTCACAACCGCCATGACTTCCACCATCACCTTCTCTTCCTCGCCGCACGACGCCGTATTGCTGCAGAAGTCCATAAGGTTCAGCTCAAACGGTTCCCTCGTCGCATCGGCATCGGCGTCCAGCATCGGAGCAAATTCTTCCATCTCATCTTTCTCAATCTTAACAACTTGGTCGCTGTTCAAAGAGTACTCTTCCTTTGTGGTGGAGTCATCATCTATGGAGGCCGTCAGCCCCAGTTCTTCCATATCAAAGCACTCATTATCAAGCGAGTTTCCCAATAGACTCTCAACATCAGCCGCAAATTCAGCAGTATCCATATCGTACGAAAGATACCCATTTGAGTTTTCTTTTTCCAAACCAACTCTTGATTCAGGAACCCGATGGAGGAGGAGGAGCTGTTCTTCTTCGGTTTCTTCTTTAGGACTCACCTCCGGTACCTGAGGAAATGGCTTGCTCGCCGGAGCGCTCTTGCCTGGCCTAGGGGTGCGGGCCTTCCTGGTAAAGCCCTGGTGCCAAGAGGCGGCAGAAGAGGGTCTGAAAGAGGCAGTTTGCAAACGGACTCGCTCGTGCCTACGAGCCAATGGGTTGGCGGAGTGGACCGAAGCATCACAAGCTTGGCAGAGGAAAGCGTCATCGGCGGCGCAGAACCAGCGAGCCCGCTTGCTGATACAGCTATCGCAGGCTCGGGCGGTCTTGCCACCCTCCACGCCTTTCCTCGTCGTCATTGAATTCCAATAACCAGAAATCCTATAAGACTCAAAACTCACTCGAAGCACAGATGGAAGAAATGTAATATTCGACACTGTACATAGACCTCGAGAGTTGAGTCTGATATTTTTCTACTTGTCCGTCTTGGGGCCCTGGGAATGGCCCGCAGACTGCGCTTTTACAGTCAAATTCAGAACAGAGAAGGGTCTCGACTCTCAACTGGGGAGGAATTGCACTTTTAGGGAACTTTTTTACTCAAAAAGGAATTGCACTGTGTGGGCCCACAAAAGGGCCTTATCCACTTTCTCATTGGTTGAGGGATTGAAGTTCATCCGAAGGTTTGTTCTCTGATTGGCTGGGTAAATTTGTGGGGCACCCTAATTAAGAGGGATTGGGAAGAGTCCGAAACCAACCCATCACTCAAAGTCACCTCTCTCCGTGAAAGGGATACTTTTATTTTTGGTTCAACTAAAAGTTGAGATCTTGTTTAGGGGCCCCCCATCCCAAATTGCATTATCCATTACCCTTCTGTCTCTAATCCCATTCTTCTCGCCTCCTTCCTTTTATTCCAAGTTGAGTATGAACAATTCTCCTCCACTTTTTAACTTTTCCCAGAAAGAATAAGATTTTCTCAGCCCAGCTGGAGTTGCTCAAATCAGTTGAGATTTTACACACACACACACACACACATGCACACTTGCAAATATTTACCTAATCTAATAAGGGATTGGAATTCTGTCAGTTTTTATGTTTCAGCTCACAAACTTCCAAGTTGTCTTAGCATCCAAAGTTTACATTGTCTTGATCCATCCCCTCTCCAGATTTTTGTCATTCTTTGAAATAAAATATAAAATATGATCTACAAATGTAACAGGTTACAATATTTTACCCCCATTTTATTCGAATATCATGAGCAGGAGAAACTGCGGGCTTTCTTTAACTAGCCTTTTGAGTTGGATACAGTAAAAATCTCTAAAGTCAATAAAGTATGGCGAAGTACAACTCGTAACACCTCAATCTGAGCTTTCTTTCAAAACCTTTGAAACAGCTCGGGTGGTAGATGGTGTCGTCCGACAACATCCTCCAATGAATTTAGCTCCCAAATCGCGCCATCTTGAACTAAATGATTCGAATTTGTCATCCCCAAAACAATTTGATGGCTACCAAAACCAGAGCACTAAATTAGTTATGAAAATATCGCAAAGTAGGCCCCCAGAAGCCATGAAAATATCAGAGTGGGGGAGGACAGAATAAGTTACTCACCAGCCATTTTTTGGCTCTGCCATCCCATACCTCGCCACTATTCGGATAAACAACTATGGGCTTGTCTGTTAACTGAAGGAAACATTTTGCTTTCAAAACCAGTGAACATGAAAAAAATATCAAATCAGCTATAAGAGGTTTAGTTCCTACCTCTTTGAACTTGCAAATGAGAGCTTCAATAAAATGAGGAGGCGTACAATTTATGCCAACTGCATTTACTTTGTTACTTTTATTAATAGCCCGAAGACACTCCTCAAAGCTCTCTCCAGACGGGGCATTCTTACCATCTACGGAGCTAAAGCAGATCCAAGATGGAATCTGGACGTTTTCTTCTTCTAGCAGCTCCACACAGGCCTACTTTTTTTAATTTGGACCAGAAAGGGGAGGGGGGACACAAAAGCAAGATAGGTTGGAAACAAGATCACAGAGAGGATAGAAAAGAAAGCAAATTGGAAAAACAATTGAAACAAGCATCCTGACATGCTCATGGCAATAATCAGAAACATTCACATTGTTCTTCCATTTCTCAGCATTATGTTGCCACAGACAAGACCAACAAAATGGGGTTTTATAATTGAAGTTTATGAACTAAAATGGATCGCTTGAAAGTATTATAACCAACACAGGTAAGTTATTATGATCACGGATAAGTTAATAAATCAAGCAGGTTATAAATTAAGACCTAATCATGCAATGGATGCCCCATAGACGATGCCATATTCAAATTACCTTGATCCCTTGAAATGAACTACTCATAAATTCAGACGAACAGATAAAAATACGTACTATAATATGTTTCCTCAAATATTATATGGTTCAGACCAAAGCATAACAATATAAGTTACAGTGGTATCACCAGTGCAGCAAACCTGGTATAAGAAGATCTGGCATAAAACAAACCTGGGCTTCAAGTTTATTGGGAATAGTCTCAAATGCAAGTAAGTCTGGGCATGCATTGACAAGGACCTGCAATCTGCGTCGATGAAAATCCTTCAGCTTGTCCACATTCACATCTGGCCCATAATTCCCACTGGTTTGGGGGGGAGTTGGGGATGGAATTCGTTTAGTTCCAAGGCATAAATTTATAAACTCCTTAATTTCAAATTTTGATATGTATCAGTCACCTGTACTCTGAGCCATCAGCAAGATAAGCACCATAGCTTCCAATGGATGCTGCAACCAAAGCCCTATTGTATTTATGCCCTGGGATACTCTTCACAGAATTCCAAAAACTATCACGAGCTTCCACAGCCAATTTAACACTCTTTTCTAAGAGCAACTCCCCTTCTTCCGTGGACAACCCCTTCGATAAAAACCCGGGAATAGTGGCCTATAATAGAACAAAATGCATGACGATAGAGAGTAATTAACTGGCTTGAATACTGGTTTATATTATTGGTATTCTGTTCATAATTTAGAAGGAATTATTTATATAAGATTATTAGACTTTGTAAGAAAATTTAAGGCACAAACGGATGTAATATTTTACGCTTCAATTTTATTTCAGGTTTAAGAAAAGATTGGGAATTCTAGTATGGTCATATAATAAAGTTGTGAAAACTGAAAACTCATAAAGAGAAGTGCATTTAAATTCAGTATATTGATCAATACAAAATCTAAGCTTAACAAAAGCATGTCATTTTCAATAGCAAAAGAAGCTCTTTTACATTGTGATGGCCATGTAGCATGACCAACTAAATATCACCAAGTACAGTCTTTATAATCTCACGGACTAATAGCTTCCTTCACTCTACAACATTTGACATTGGAAAACTTATAGGATATTTATCTTAGATAGATCGTGCCATGCTTTGAATAGGAATCTTGATTTCTAGCTTGCACTATCTCACAATTGAGCTATCAGAAGGTGGTTAAATATATATATATATATATTTTGATAAGAAATGAAACTTTCATTGAGAAAAATGAAAAGAGATACAAGAAAAACAAAAGGGGCCTAAAAAAAACAGCCCAGAGAGGAGTCCCAAGGTGGTTAAATATTAGTATGCACAGAGACATAACCATTCCAGTTACTAAATACTGTGACCTAGATGATGTCACTGTTAGCAACATCTGGTTATAATGCTTTCACAATTTGGGTCCACTAACTACAACACCTAGAATGTCCACAAATCTTACTCCACAAGAAGCACTTTAATCCAATTCATTTAACTTGATCAAAATTCTCCGCATTCATCGAGTGTACATACAATGGAGTCCAATTTAGGATCATCATTTCACAACAGAACAGAAATGCTCATTTTGATCTTTAACTTGAATGCAAGAGGAGTTATCACTTTGATATCTATGCATTATGTTCATTAGCATCAAAATATCCAATTTAAATCATCAAGTTATAAACAAACCACAGTATAAAAGCCGTCAGAGGATGCATCGTACAGAATATTTCACATACGCTGTCGAAAAACGAATGAACAAAGCTCGGTCCATTCGAATTACAAACCTGGTAAGATGAAGAAACCACAATATCTGCTCCAGCCTCCAAGTACTCCAAATGGACCTGCACGTTCAATCAGATCAATGCGCAAGCGCATCAATGAGTACGTGACGCACCGAAACGAACGAAAAATCAAAGAGAACAGAGACGATGAGAAAGAACCTTCTTGATTAGGTCAGGATCCTTAATAAGGCAAACAGCGCTCCAGAGTGGATCGTTAATGACAGCACCGTGTTTCTCAAGCTGCGTGGCGAAACCTCCATCAATGACGGCACAACCTCCTGCGTTCTCTATCAAATCATCCAACAATGTCGTCGCTTTCTTCATCACCATTTCCTCTTCCCGTCGCCTCTCTTACTCTTCGTTCCTTGAAAATCCGATTACGTATTCAACGCCGGCGACCAAGGAGACGCGATTGGTCGACAAAATCAATATGGATGTTGTCGCTCTGTCTCCGAACGTGGACGCCTTTACATTCAGATTCTCCGGGCGGTCGGTTTCTTCTTCGTATTTTCGCTTTCTCAAGGCAATGCGCGCCAATATTACGGTTTTTGTAGCCCTCGGGGTTGGTGAAGGATGCCCAATCCAAGTCCATTTTCAAATTCAAATGGGCCCAAGCCAAGCCCACCCACGCCTCTGAAATTTTCATAGCTGCCTTTAAAGTTTAAACAATACCATTATTATTATTATTATTATTATTATTTTGAGACAAAACAATACCATTATTGAAACAGAGATGCTAAAAGAATTACATATATCATAGAATTAATTATAACAAAGCGTTAATATGATAAACTATTTATTCTTTTATTATGAAATTGTCAATAAACTCATTTCTTCCTAAGCATATCAATAAACTCATAATTGATTAATCAAATATATAATACTAATTTGAAGAAAAGAAAAAAAAAAAACTTAAAACGAAGTATGTTTGAAGTTTTATTTTATTGAGGGAAAAGAGTAGCCACCAATTCACTCCACCAAAAATTCAGTCTTGGAAGAAATGGGGTTTGGTAGGAAGATGCTTTGTTTCATTGTCAATAAGCTGACGTATATCAAAATTTGTT